AAAAAAAAAAAAAAGAGTCTACGATCGAGCAAAGACGGATGAAGAGAACAACAACAACACCTGACTGGAATAGAAAAATACTCTTTTGTTTGGTGTTTTCTGACTATTCTCTTCTCTGCCTGGGAGCCCTTAAACTTGTCATGTGGGGCATCTAGGATGGTGCTCAAGCATCAACTGGAGCTCATTTGACAGCATGGAGCTGGCTGAAAAGGGCACATCTTCAGTAGACGCCCAGGTCTTGCCTTTACTTACACAACTTTGTGTGCGAGTGAAACGTTTTCTTCTGTCCTGTGGCTTCCCATTCACATGCATACAGAAGGGAATTTTTTTGTTTTCTAAAAAGGAGAAAAACTTCCATTTTAAGTATATCTCTGTATACACCATAATGCTGTGCACACGCTGAAAAGTGTTCAAACTGAATAAGAGAAGTCAAGTCAATACTTAATAATTCCTGGTATGGACGGCCAAGTGAATGGTCAGAGGAGAGGCTCACCTAGGGAATCCAATAAAAATGTTGAGGGCCCCACTAATACAATCTAAACTGGTTCACAAGGGCACTATTTGTCAAAGTGTGTGGGGGACGTAGGGTCCTCACAGATAGCTATACCCATTGTCTATTAATATGTTCACCTTGAAAACTTGACAAACAGGGGTTTTTCCTCTTTGTGCGGTCTCCACAGCATATGGCGTTTTTGGCAAGTGTGCAGTTAACTTGACCTATTCTAACAGTCTCACCTTCCACCATGAGTTAAAATTAGTGAGGCACCATTTTAGGTCATAGCTCTTCTTGAAGGGTCTGTTTTTTTTCCGTGCTTTAGGTCAGACACGGATCATCACTGCGCCAGTGGCTTGGATGTTGTTGTCTGATTACATAATTAAACTCTGCAAAAGGGATAGTCTTTTCTGCCGGCAGGAGAAAATGGTGAGATCGGTGTTTAACCTATTTAGCCAAAACGTACCAATAGATAAACAAAAAATGTTGGGTATCTTAAAAGACCTTGTGATGATTGTTAAACGATATGATAACAGTCGCTTCTCATTGTCAGGATCCTGGTGAGAGAGTAGTTATATGGTGGAAAGTGAAAAGTTATGTGCACGCCATGATAAAAAAACTTTTGTTTTTCCCAACCGGACCAGCCAGATGGTTTCCTCACATATCTCAAGTGAAATCCAGCTGCCTTGTGAGGTAACTTATATCTTGCCTGTATTCTGACAGAGTATTTCCTTCTACTTCCTAATCAGATGCCTCAGAAACAGGGATTTGAGTCCCTCTGCAAACCACTGCTGTCACTTGAATGCGTGCCTCCTTTTCTCATTCCTCCCCCCTTGGAATGAGTAAGACACACATTTAACTACCCATACTCTTTTGCTGAGTGCAACATTGCTCTTCTGTTCGCCTGGATAATGGTTTGCTTGGAGGGACAAAATTGTCCAAACAAAGCACGTAACCCTTGGTTTCATCACACTCAACGGCAGCTTTTTCTGCAAAGAGATATAC